GCAGCAGATGTTTTGCAAGTGCCCAGAGGCCCAAATCCAGTAGCTCTGTTTAATATTTACTCGCGAAGTTGTTTAATTTACATGTTCGCAGTTGTAAGCTCTTGCATGAATTATTGTAGTGCACTGCTTTTTTAAAATGTTACGCTCTTATTTGTTTCACTTATGAAATGTTGTCTTGTTACATTTACATTTTAATACATTTTTCCACCCGGATTAATGTTTGATTTTACAATTTAAAAAGCCATGAATTAACATTTGCTGCCGTATACAATCCTATACATTCTCTCGATATTTTAGAATCTACATGACGTACAATTTTAGTTACTTTGAAAGGAGGTGGAATACACCGTTTTGGAATATTGTTTACAAGTATAGTGCTAATACTCACGCGATCCGAGCGGGAGAGGTACTGAGGCAGGAAAAAAAAATTATAGGATGAAACATTTTCCTGCCTCAATAGCTCTCCTGCAATTTTTTCACCTGATGACGATTGCTTGTGTTGCCATCGAAATGTCGTTATATTTATTATTTTTCTATCTACGTGGCTTTACCGAAAGACCCCAAGAATACACCTTTCAAGTAATTATAAATAACCCTTTGTGTCCTGGCTTTTGTGCCACCCTGTACAATAATAATCCAACGTGTCTGGCTTTTGGGCCACCCTGTACAATAATAACCCAACGTGTCTGGCTTTTGGGCCACCTTGTACCATGAGACCTCCTGCGACACTAAAACAATTCTTAACTAGGCCTCCTGGTGCCCTCTCGTGGAGAATTTGGGCACCGCTTACATTTTCTTCGGATCGTATTTTTGTGTGTGTGGTTACTTTGAGAAGCAAGCAGAGAGGAGATGGGGAAAGGCGCCTTATCAAATTCTATATTTATAGAGCGCCATTACTCAATGTGCTTCACGTCGTAAAAATACGGTGACAAAATATGATTTTTATTGCCAGGGGCATGCAAGGGCTGAGGAATGACTGACCACGATAGAGGGGGCTTAGGAGTCGTGAAAGGGAGGGATGGGAAGGAGTGGGGGGGGGGGTATAGTGGGGGGGGGGAGGCGAAGGGATGGAAGTGGGGAGCGGTGGTGCAGCAGTTAGCGCCGCTGCGCTATGAACCCGGCCAACACCGGTGATGAATATTTTAACCGGTCCTGGGCCTCCCCTAGGTTTACTTGGCCTCAAATGAGTACCTGGTGCCATGTGTAAAGACATCGCCACTAGGTAGACAAAGGCGGCCTGGCGTGTTGCTGGCCAACCAACCCCCTTGTGTGCCTTGGTGCTAAACGCTAACAGCACTTACCCCAAAAGTGAATTGAGGCGATACGGGGGATCTTTGTCTTTGGGGATGGAAGAGGACATCCCTTAGGAAAATTGCGACCTTCACTTTTAAACTTTTGAGCTGGAAAGCAATTCCAGGCCAGATAATGTGCCCATGGACCAGTTCTGAGAGTTGTGTGTTACAATTTGTCAAGGGAGAGATTTATCTTGGTGGGGACTGGGGCTGTGGATGTTGGTGGTTGGCACGAGAGGCCAGCTAATTGGCTGTGTCGGGACACTGAGCTGGTGCCTCTAGAGATTCTGAGCCGAGAGCTTTAGGTCAGACACCGGAGACAGTTTAATAATAATAAGTGCGCGCATGCACCTGCATTCCAGTCGATAACCGAAACGGAATTGGCCACTCGCTGAAATATAATCCTTCATTAGGCTCAGACTCAGAAAATTTCAGAAGCTGAAATAACTGACGGACACTTTTTTTTTTACATTTTTGCTTTAATCTTACATTGTGGGGGATTACTGCCAAAGCGGTGTCGTGGTCAGCACACTCGACTTGCAGTCCACAGGTCGCTGGTTCGATTCCATCTCCCCTGGCACGACAGTTGAAATAACGGTGCAAATGTATGAAACTGCCCACTGCCACCGCCTCTGTCCAACCCGCAGTGTGAATGGGTGCACCACGGTTATTCGATTGGCAGGTCACGCGTGGGTGCTCCCGCCTCTTCCATAATGTCTGACCAAAATGGAAGAGTAGGCCAAATATTCTCTAGATGAGTGGTGGCCAACCTACAACAGACCCAGAGCCAAAAAGTACCCGTGAGTTCTGCAAAGAGCCAAGTTGTATATATTATATATCCATCCACATTATCATACAACTTTAATTCATTATCTATTTGTTACTGCTATGATAGTCGTATGTTCTCCGTGATGCCCCTTCGATAGTCGCGTGTGGTGGATTAAAGAGCCGCACGCGGCACTTGAAGACGCCAGTTGGCCACCACTGCTCTTGAAATCTTCTTTCGAGATCCCTCGAGTCGAGGCCCTTTCCCCAGCAGTGGGTAAGCAATTGGGGGGGGGGGTGCACCTTTACCTTTGTCCTTACATTGCATAGGATGTTGAGTGGTCCGATCAGATGTGCGATATCTGCATGGCATATCCGCTTGACTACAGCAGAGAATCCTAAAATGTATCGATACTGGAGGAATACTATAAGCTACAAAGCTCTTTTTTTCTCCGATGTCCAGTAGGGGCGGGTCCGAATGTTACAACAAACAATACAAAAAAACACGATAGAAGTGTAAAGGTAAACAAATCGCTTAAAAATATACAAATAAAACTAAATGAATGTTTTCATCTTACCAGGTAGAGCCCACCTGAGGTAATAATTTATTTTTCAGAAGAGACCTGGTCATAAACGGTAGAGAGGTAAATGCAACATGGGCCGTTACATTCATGATGAAACTAGAATTTGAAATTACGTGGAATGAAGCAGAAATTTTAACCGAAGAACGGCTAAAAAAAATTGTTTGAACCAAGACGACAGATGTAAATTAACAGTTTTATTACAACTTAAACTCTGAATCATGTAAAACGTAGATGATGACGTGTCCCGCGCGTCTAATAAAGTGGCCAAAGAGATCTCGTGCCACACTGAAGACACCTAGTGGCGTGAGACAGTAGTGGTCAGTGGTCGCTGCTATGTTGAAACAACTCATGAGTCCATGATAGTTTTTTTTGGGTTGGATCGCGTAAATATAAAAGTGTCGTTAAACCCGCCAACACCCGACACAGCCAATTCGTAAGGTTTGTCACGTAAACAGAACATGCCGATTCTTTGCTTGTACAGCACACCGGTGTATTGGAGAGTAAAACCACAACATTCACAATCTGAGTACGACGTTTCGCCAGTAATTACAACCAGCATCATCAGGCGACAGCCAGATTTGTGGAGAAACCCTCCTGTTTCTTTCTTAAATGGAAGGATGAATGTGATGTCGTCACTTGTAAATAAATTTGTTCATATTCTTTGGTTGGTTCGTTCGGTAAAGTCACGTCGATAGAAAAATGAGAAAAAATTACGTTAATACAAATAAAATAATAATTAAAAGACTAAAGGTGTTAATGTTATGTAACATCTAGTTGTCGTGCCTTGCAGCCATCAACCTAAGAGGAATGTAGGGATTCACCTCCCTCCAAGTTTTCATGGATATTTTCCCAATCCATGGTCAATTTTATTCAATAATCAATTATTGTCTGACTCGTATGTGTTGCCAGTGTCCGAGTCGTTTAGCCGTGTTTTGTTTACAGTCTCACTCGGCTTGCCTAAGTACAGCAGTGTGTAATTTACTTCTTAATTGCATAACTACAAAGAACCAATTCTTGTACATGTTGCGAGCAAAACAATTGACTGTTATTGATTAATCTATGGATCGTTACATGTGTAGTGACATCGCGCCGACTGCTGTACAGCAGTGGCAACTGCTGTGAACAGTTAGCGCACACGCCATTGAGCAGGGCGGAGGAACTGGGGCAAGTGTCACCAAAGACCTCATCGGGAAGCCCCTGGAACCCGCTAGTGGTTTCTAGAAGGGAGGCGCGGCCCGGGCGGAGCCAGGCCGCACAGAGTAGGATAAAAGCAGCGGAGAGCAGGAGCTCCGGGCTGCCGGTTCTAGGAGTGGACTCATCTCGCCGTCGCTGTTGTCTTCGCCGCCACCATCGCTGCCACCTTCACTCGATAATTGCGCGGCCGGACAGTTGTTGGCTGTCTCGGTCGACGCCGTCGGTGTAATGCGGCTTGGGTTGTGCCTCGGCTGGGCTGTACGGCAACGAGAAGGAAGGAGGCGAGCCTTTCGAACCAAAAGAGAGTTGTAATAAAGAAGGTGCCTCCTGCAACGTCCCCGTCTCCGACTTGTGCTACGCTACACATGTATGGCGGTGACCAGTCAACAAACGCCAACCTTTTCACAAGCAGTGATGCAAGCTTCATGTCACTGTGTATTTTCGCGTACTTCGACATTGCAGTGAAGAATATTCCCCGCGTTTGAAGCGGTTTGCGTTTCAGTTTTTTGTCCAGAAACCTCTGTGCATGTTGGCAAGATGTTAACTCCCTCGCCTGGTATACAGGTGGACGTGGGTTTAATCCCGACCAAGACGCCTGCTGTATATTTAGAGTGTGCATGTTCTTCTTGCGGTCGTGTGGATTTTTCTCCGGGTCCTCCGGTTTTTCCCTCCACATTTAGAATCGACGTGCGTTTAGAGTATTTGGCTGCTATGGATTTCCACATGATGATATGTCACTTCGTTGAGCTTCTGAAAAAGAGCTTTATCGTTTAGTGGGCCTTACCTGGTAAAATAACAAAACATCCTTCAATAGTTTTTTTAAGGTCCGCTTATACTTTAGTCCCCAGCGAGTAAGATCTGCGACGTACCTTCCACGAGGCCCTCTACGCTATTAAAATAATCATGAATAATTGACTGCCCTCTGTCAATCCACTATTCGGCGAAGTTCCCCCCCACGTCATGGTGGTGACGGGTGTTGTTCGACCATACTTGGTGCTGCTCATTGCGGCTTGGTGAAGGTGATAGAGAGCTTAGACGGTTGGTAAATTCGGGCACAACAATTCCCGCGCCTCCGTTTAGCACGGGTGGCTTAGTACGTCTCACAGTAGATTTGTCTGCAGCACCCCATTTAGCCGCTAAAAACCTATGTTTGTGACATCCACAGACCAGCTGACAAAGCTGAAGGACATGGACGAGAGGCGGAAGTACTACAAGTGCAGTAGCAACTACATCACGCTCAAGTCTCTGGACAAGTGGTCGGAAAAGGATCTCCACTCCCAGGATCTCCACTCCCAGGACAAACTTACAGAGCTGGAAAAGCCAGGTAAAGTGCCGGTGGTTGTTGAGTGAACACGATACTCAGCGTCGGAAGCCATATCACACAGCTTGGTCATGTGACCAGCGAGGCACATTGGCTGGCGTGCATCCAAAGCGTGCAAACTTCACCGACGGATAATTTGTTAGGTTATTGATTGGGGGCAGAGGAAGTTTGGGTGGATTGTTGATTCATTAAAACATTTTTAATCGATTTTTCCATACCGCGAGCTTAGCCGAGCGACCAGATTTAACAAAGCGTTACCAGTATATTCACAACAACCAAAGAAACAAAGCTGAGAACACCCCAAAAAGCCGACAAAATCCCATTTGTTTAAATACGTTATGTGCGGCGGTTTAAATTAGCCGGTACACAGCATTGTACGACACAGCGGAACGTCTCGCAGCGCCATGACGCGCGTATCTGAACCCTTCAGAACGGCTCCAATTGCTATGCCGCGATGTTTTCCACAGAGGGGAAATGGGCAGTGAACCCGAGCTGCGGGAAGGAACCGGCTTCATGCGGGGAAGAACTCCACATTTCCCTCGCGACCACTGACAATAGGCGAATAGAGAAAAAAACGTGGTGTTGCCTCTCCAATGTACGCTCCAATGTACGCACCTGCTGGTTGATAGAGTATCCTGGCTCAAGGAAGGTGTGCAACCCAATATGCAAGTGGCTATCTTGTGTATACATAAGCCTCAGGCTGCGTGTGTCCCGGGCTGCCCAGCACACGTTAGAACCCTTAATTCGTGACAAAAAAAAAACACTTTCAAGGTTTGGCCAAGCATTGGATCACAGCGCTCCAGTGGCTTCACTGCATTATCTATATGGAGACGGCTTTCTAACACCGTTTGAGACGTGGCTCAAAAGAAAGCTGTCTCTGGTATGGACCAATCAGTTTCAAGGACAATTGATATAATATCAGAATGTGTTTTTTGTTTGCATTCTGACCACAAGGATTGTGGTTAATGTCGACATGATTCCTCGTAAAAAAAGGTTTCAGTTTGGTGTTTTAACGTCTTAACACCTGTTTTGTTGCCAGATAAAAGGAGAAAAAACTATTATATTTTGGTACTGGCAAAGGAGGTCCCATGATGTAGATGCTCACCCCGAGCTCTCATTACTCTGATAGTGCATTGTCTTTGAGCTGTCTTTGTGCTGTCTTTGAGCTGTTTGCGTTTTGGCGTCCTCTGGTCTAACACCGTTTGAGACGAGGCTCAAAAGAAAGCTGTCTCTGGTGTGGACCAATCGGTTTCAAAGACATTGCATATATTATCAGAGTATTTTTTTGTTTGCATTCTGACCACAAGCATTGTGGTTAATGCACACATGATTCCTTGTAAAAACGTTTCAGTTTGGTGTTTTAACATCCTAACACCTGTTTTGTTGCCAGATAAAAGGAGAAAAACATTATCATATTTTGGTACTGCCAAATGAGGCTCCATGATGTAGAAACAACAACATTTCACGTTTTTCATGAACGCTGCCTCACAAGAGGAAAATGTTTATCGGAGAGCGCTTCAGGTGAATGCCTGTTTTACGGAGGACTCTCCCTAATTTATAATTTTGCTGATTAGAAGTGCCTTTTTTACGGGGGATTAATCTTTCGTATTAAATTTTCATGAGCTTAATGACGCTTACGTAACTGAACCTCCATTCATCCTTCGGTGAAATGAAGGGGATACTCGTTATTTGGGCACTGATACTCCTGACCGGGCGCTGGATCGTTGCTCCCCGCACTGCCACCGACTAGTCAAGGGTCCGCGGTCTGTCTGGGCCTGCCACAGCAGCAGCAGGCCTTGCCTAAACACGTTAACGGATACCGGGGTGGCTGCTCCCCCTCTCTGCCCATGCCTGACCACCAGTTTACGTGTGCGCGCGGATTTGATTTCGATGAAATGTGCTCTATCAGAAACGTGTGCTTCAACTGTAGGTGGGAGGGAGTACGAGGTGAACCATCAGATCAACGACAAGGTTTCGCTCTTCAAGGGCGACATCACCCTGCTGGAAATCGACGCCATCGTGAATGCGGGTGAGTGCCACGGACGCTGCTGCCGCACGTTTGGGGGGGTTCGTTGAACGGTCCACGCTTTTGAGGCTGGTTACCGCGCTCGTGCTGTCGGCTGTTTCGTAACCCCCTTTCCCCCGGTCCGAGACGTCCGCAAGTTGCAGGGCGGGTGTCTCCCGTTCACCACTGGACCTCGGGACGCGCGAGCGGTTCGACGTTGATTTTATTTGAAGAGACGTAGAGCCGTTGTTTTTCAAGACATTGAACTCGCCGCAGAGAACTGGAGCGACGCGACCGCACTCTGCGGTAGCTGGTGCCAAACTGCGTCACACGCCCTCCCGCATGGCCTCACGGGATCCTCGGCGTACCGATGAAGTTATTTCATTGAAAGTTTTTCTTCCGATTCCGTACACGTACGTCATCAGAATGGGAAAGGGTTAATTGTCCGGCGGTGTCTTGAGGAGGTGGCCGAGTCTGCCGTGTGGCTATAGAATGGCCGACCGCGTGGCACGACGGTGAGAATGTTCCGTCGCGGTTTTAATTCGCTGTGGCTCGGTGGTGCACCGCGATTACCGGTCAATCCCAGTGACCCCCACGATCCCCGTTGGGCCCGCGTCAGATGTCGCGTCCGTCTCGTTTGTACTGTTTGTGCTGCCTCGGTTGTGCTGTTCTCATCTGCATTGTCCGTACAGTCTGTCTTGTCCGTAATGTTTCTGCTTTGTTTGTACTGCCCGCAGTGTCTCGGCTACACCATCTCGCTTTTGCAGTCTGTGTTCTCCGTTTTGTCTGTAACGGCTGTTTTTTTGCGCGCGAATGATCTCATTTGTAAAGCGACTCATTTGTGCTGTTATCTCATCCGTCTCCGGCTCGATTGTACTGCCCCGTCCGATCGGTCATGTTTGTCCTGACCATTGGCTTTAAGAGAAACTGCCCGTAAGTCTTGCGTGAATTGAAAATAATCCATTCTTACACGCATGGTAAGGCAGCATGCATTCCGAGTATAAATAACGTCTTGTAGTAATCTAGGAATTAATCATTGCTTGGGGACTCGAAGTGTGCACAAGACGGGTGGAAATTCAAATGTAAAATTGGCTTGGGCCTCCTCTAGGTACGCTCAGCCTCCAATGAGCACCTGGTGCCGTGTGTAAGCATTTGCAGCTGCAGAGACAAAGGCAGCTGGGCTTGGTGTTGATTCTGCTATGGGCGCAAATGTTTAAAATGCAGTAATTTTTTAAGAGATTTTAGGTCCTATTTACGTTGCCCACAAGGTGGCAGCATTTCACTATGAAGGTAACTTATTTGTAATGTTGGTAGATTCTGTTGCCATTTTATGTGGTTATTGTATTGATTTAGCTATTAATTCACACACATGGGGTTCATTATGTGTACACTGCTTTTTGTTTCAAGGTTTTCAGAGTCCATGGGTAAAATACTGCGTGTATAATTTCTAAGTTAGTCTAAGCTGAATTAACTTTTTTAATTAAATTTGCTTTTTTTTACATTCGTCCGCTAATTATATTCACGACGCAGACACAGTAGCATCTGCGCGTGGATTAAAACTTGTGTCGCTGTTGTTCCGAAACTCCACGTTACAGCAGAGACATGTCTTGGGGATTGTGTTCCCGACTTCCGAATCTATAGTTTTGGTTTTATTCAGACTGTTCCGAAAAGTGTGACATCACAGAAAATGACGTTACACAGGTTACATTACTTCCCCCACCCCCCTCGTTCCAACAGGGGAGCAAGTGGCACCCTGGTGATGTCACGTTTGTTAGCGTGAAACAGCGTTGGATCGTTACGTCGTGCGACCAATCCGACGATACGAAATCGTCGTTAAAAATACAAAGATCCAAACTTTTCCAATCTGAAACTTGCCCTTTGCGTAAGATGGCAATATGTTCAGGAGCTGAATGCCAACGTCCGTGGTCTGCTAACTACAAGAGGGCTTCAGGAGAGATTTTGTGTAGTTTTTCTACTCCTCTATGTTGAAGAAAGGCAGACAGACTATACAGTGCTTTACTGTGTGGTCCATCATTTGGCTTACATGGCCGCAGTTGCGCTGCTGGGGCTGGTGTCTACTCGTTTTTTTTTATTTCACGCATCGGCCTGTTGATGCGGTTGATGGCGCACCATGGTCTTCAAAGCCATGAGGTGCGATGTTTGGGTCCTGAATGGGGTCCTTTTATTTGGGACGTGACATTGTAGACGGCGAAGACATTTGCCTACAATATCATCTGTCACTGGTCCGTGTTATGCAACCACTGCTGCTCTACCGCCATTGGGGGCCACCTGAAGGACAGCGGTCTTTAGACCGCGTCGTCTGAGCTGGGCTTGACACAATTTGATGTTAAACTATTTGTACAACTATGAGGAACAGGAGTATTGCTCAACCACTGGTGACAGAGCTGAGGCTTTCAAACTGAATTGTCTCTGTCCAGCCTTATTTATTTTTGGTCGTAGCCTTGTGCACAAATCGTGTCATGTGCCGTGTCAAACGAATACGGCAAACGATGCCCAAGCACAGACATGAAATAATGATTTCCTCTTTATCCAGGGACATGTCACTGAGTATCATGGCTTTTTCAGGGGTGGCCCTCACTGGGCTGTTTTTCCATTCTATTTGCGAGTGCTTTGCTTGTAATATGAAACCAGAGAGCCCAGAGAAGCCCCTTGGATGCCAAAGCGTTTGCACAAATCTCCGTACGGATTGATTCAAGCAAACATTAGCCGCATCTCCGGTCTGCAGAACTTCAATGTAAAGGGACGAGACAGGTGACACGTTGCTTAGGTGTTACACTGAGGTTATTCACTAGAAAAGAAGGTCATCTGGTTTTAAGAGTTGCACAAATTAGCAGTGCATATAGGTAGGTAAATTGCTAAATAAATCATGTGGAGTAGCAAAGGACAACAGCTGATGCCTGCAGACTCCTGACCCAACTCATTGTGCATATATGTGTGTAAACTTTTTTCACACTGTACGTAGCCAACCGTGCTTAATCGGAGGTGCGGGGGAACGACAACAAAACTAAACGCAACAAGCAGTCCTAAAGAAATTGGTTTTCAATCGAGATTTAAAAGTGCATAGCTCTCGTGGCTGTGCACTTTTGAGTTTTCAATCCAGATTGATTGAGGAGCGAGAGAGGAGGCAGTGTTTGCTGGAGCGGTGAGTGAGTGAGTGTCGGGTGTGAATTTAGGAAAAAAAACTCGTTTTTTCGTAAGGTAGCTCCTCATTTATGTATGAGCTGAATCTCGCCTCGTAAAGAATCACCGCTGTCGCTGTTTTATGACATCACCTTCTGCTGCCGATGCACTCCCCATTGGCGGGTTTACGTACTGTTGGTGTTGCGAGGGGCGCCGGGGGGGGCGGTATATAAGGGACTTGTGTATACTATCGTGCCCCACGCGATATCCAGCCTGTTCTCCTATGACGCCGCGTGGTGTTCTCTAAACGCGGATTGGATATATAACGCGATGAATGTATTCGGGAACACGTTTTCTGTAACGCGGCCACGAATCGGGATAGAACGCGATTTGAGTGAACGGAACTACGTCGCGCCAGTAGGAATAAGCGGTCGTATGGCTGCCTCGGCGTAGCATCGCGCAAGGCGGGATGCTTCTGGATGCTAACCACGGGCGCCTCGGTCTTTGTTCACGTGTTATCGCGGCCTGTGCTTTACCCCCTGTATTATATATCGTTTATTATAACGCGGTTTTACGATAACGCGGTGCTCTTCAGGAACGCAAAAGCCACCGCCGCCGCCGCGTTATAGGAGAACAAGCCTGTACTAGTCTTCTTTGGTTCTTTCGGTAAAGTCACGTAGAATGAGAATAAAATAATAAATTGATAAAATAAAATAACACAATAATATTCTCACGACGTTTCGGGTACTAGCGTGGCGTCCGCAAAGCCTCCGCCCACCCCAGCGGCTCGGTCCGGGTACGCGAGCGCACTCGGCGCAGTCAAACGCTCGTTGTACGGGAGCTAAGGAGTAGACCATCGGGGTACTCCAACGCCATTCGTCGGTGTGTCGGTGGAACAGCGCAGTGAGCGCACCTGTCGCCAGGTCCATTTTAACACGTAGGCTTTTCGCGACCAATGCTATCCAGGTATATGCATACATTGGCCACCCACCCCCTCCCCCCGTCTGGCCGTCACAGTTGATTGGCTCACAAGTAATCAGATCACATTTATGCCTCTATTTAAGACCGAAACAGGAGGATTTATCCACAACTCTGGCTGCCGCCTGATGATGCTGGTTATTGTAATTACTGGCGAAACGTTACGGTACTCGAATTGTTGTTGGTTTACTCGACAACACACCGGTCTGCTGAACTAGTAATGCATTTGCATGCTTTGTTTACGTGAAAAACCTTACTAATTGGCTGTGGCGGGTTTAACGACACATTTATATTTACACGATCTTAACCCAAAAAACAAATTAAGGATAGATCCATTTTGTGTTCGTTCGGTGGTGAAACTTTAGCGGCTGCCAGATGAGTTAACCTGGAAATGATAAAAACAATGCTGTCTGCTGTGTAGTAGAGGTGAGTATTTAACGGGTCTTTATTCGCTCAGGAAACCATAGACGTCATGTGTTTGTTCGGCGTGTGCTCCGTTGCGAGGTTTGTCGAAATTGTAGGGGTGTTCTGGTTTTTCCTGCAAGGAGACACCTACTTGCTGTACTGCCACCTGCAGGACCACTTCATTGTCCTGCAGGTGGGTATCCCACGCGTATAATTTTGTTTGCGATCCACAAACCCCGACGTACAGCAGTTGTAAAACAGTGGGACAAGTTTAAAAAAAATTCCCAGCAGCGAAAATGGGTCCTCCATAGTTCGTCATTTGGCTGGTCGCCTTTAGTGGGGGCAAGTGTGGGCACTTCCACCACTTCCAAGGCATCCGTCCAGCGTGGGAAAAATAGGCTCCACATACACTCTTTAGAGGGGCTCTCTAAAGAGCTCCCTCTGGTGGAGACCCTTCAGCCAGCAGTGGCATGAGCAAGAGATTGCAGGGCTGCACCTTT